ATTTCAAAAAAATTCCTACGTACACGCAAGATCATGGTGATGACATAGCAACGAGAGGGGAGAGTGTGTCCACGTACCCTCGTAGACCGAAAGCGGAAGCGTTAGAACAACGGGTTGATGTAGTCGTACGTCTTCACGGCCCGACCGATCAAGCACCGAAACTACGGCACCTCCGAGTTCTAGCACACGTTCAGCTCGATGACGTCCCTCGAACTCCGATCCAGCCGAGTGTCGAGGGAGAGTTCCGTCAGCACGACGGCGTGGTGACGATCTTGATGTACTACCGACGCAGGGCTTCGCCTAAGCACCGCTACGATATTATCGAGGTGGATTATGGTGGAGAGGGCACCGCACACGGCTAAGAGATCCAAGGGATCAATTGTTGTTGTGCCTAGAGGTGCCCCCCTGCCCCCGTATATAAAGGAGCAAGGGGGGAGGGGGCGGCCGGCCTAGTAGGGGCGCGCCAAGGGGAGTCCTACTCCCACCGGGAGTAGGACTCCCTCCTTCCTTGTTGGAGTAGGAGAAGGGGAAAAGAGGGGGAGAGGAGGAAGGAAAAGGGGGCCGCACCCCTTGTCCAATTCGGACCAGAGGGGGGCTGCGCGCCTCCTTCCTTTTGGCCTCTCTCCTCTATTCCCGTATGGCCCAATAAGGCCCATATACTCCCCGGCGAATTCCCGTAACTCTCAGGTACTCCGAAAAATACCCGAATCACTCGGAACCTTTTCCAACTTCGAATATAGTCGTCCAATATATCGATCTTTACGTATCGACCATTTCGAGACTCCTCGTCATGTCCCCGATCTCATCCGGGACTCCGAACTCCTTCGGTACATCAAAACTCATAAACACATAATATAACTATCATCGAAACCTTAAGCGTGCGGACCCTACGGGTTCGAGAACTATGTAGACATCACCTAGAACTGTTTCCGGTCAATAACTAATAGTGGAACCTGGATGTTCATATTGGCTCCTACATATTCTACGAAGATCTTTATCGGTCAAACCGCATAACAACATACGTTGTTCCCTTTGTCATCGGTATGTTACTTGCCCGAGATTCGATCGTCGGTATCCAATACCTAGTTCAATCTCGTTACCGGCAAGTCTCTTTACTCGTTCCGTAATACATCATCCCACAACTAACTCATTAGTTGCAATGCTTGCAAGGCTTTAAGTGACGTGTATTACCGAGAGGGCCCAGAGATACCTCTCCGACAATCGGAGTGACAAAACCTAATCTCGAAATACGCCAACCCAACATGTACCTTCGGAGACACCTGTAGAGCACCTTTATAATCACCCAGTTACGTTGTGATGTTTGGTAGCACACAAAGTGTTTCTCTGGTAAACGGGAGTGTCATAATCTCATAGTCACAGGAACATGTATAAGTCATGAAGAAATCAGTAGCAATATACTAAACGATCAAGTGCTAAGCTAACGGAATGGGTCAAGTCAATCACATCATTCTCCTAATGATGTGATCTCATTAATTAAATGAAAACACATGCCTATGGTTAGGAAACATAACCATCTTTGATCAATGAGCTAGTTCAAGTAGAGGCATACTAGTGACACTCTGTTTGTCTATGTATTCACACATGTATTATGTTTCCGGTTAATACAATTCTAGCATGAATAATAAACATTTATCATGATATAAGGAAATAAATAATAACTTTATTATTGCCTCTAGGGCATATTTCCTTCAGCATTTTTTAGGGCAAATAGACGGAAATTGTGTTTGAATTCAAATAATTTTATGTTTTTACATCTAGATAAAGGTAAATATAGTTCAGAATGCTGGCACGTAAATTTTTCGTACAAATGAATTATCTTTTCTGAATTTGAATAATAAAAAATTAAAAAATCTAGATAAAAGAAGATATACTGCAGAATAAATGTACGTGATTTTCTTTCAGGCAAATTAGTGCGCTTTTTTCGAATTTGATTAATTTTAAAGTTGAAAATATAGATAAATGAACTGATTTGTCCAAAAGAATTTAAAATTTTGAATAATTTTACATTGGAAAGAAAATGATCGCTCAAACAGAATGATTTCCACTCTCCCATTGATAATGTGCATAAATTTCTATTACCCGTGTAGTTTTTTTAATTACACAAATACTTTTTAGAATGTTTAATTTTTTAAAATATCACACACTTTTTTACAGCGTATGAACATTTTTGAAACGTCAAAAACAACAAAATATAAGTTGTTTTCTTACATCATTTTATTCCTGTGGGCAATAACACGAACATGTTTTTAGTTTTCGTTTATTTCTATGTTTTTTTAGGGTCGTTTATTCCTATGTTGGGCTGAGCAATCGTTTTTTTAGGGTCGTTTAATTTTTGTGGTCCACGATCTCCCCCGCGCCGACGTCACCGTCGTCGTCACGGTCGCCGTCGTCGCTGCTCTTCCCGCCGTCCTCCCAGTAGCCGTCGTCGCCCTGCTCCTGAGCAATCTGCGGCTGCGCCGCTTCGATGGCTGCCGCCGCGTCGAGTGCGGCCTGCAGCTCGGCGGCCTCTGCTGCCGCCGCCATAGCCGCCACCGCGTCGTGTGCGGCCTGCAGCTCGGCGGCCTCTCTCGCCTCCGTGGCCGCTGCCGCGGCCGCCGCTTCTGCCCGCGACGCCCGCAGTGCGATGAGGTAGCCGAGGCAGTCGTCGGGGTCGCCGTCCTCGCGCAGTGCGAACTGCTCATCTCGACGACGGGGGGGTGGGGGTGGGGAGGCGGGTCGGGCGATGGCGGGAACCGGACGGCGGGACGAGCTCGGAGATGGCGCGGCTGCCAGAGGGGGACGGCGGGGCCGGCGCGTGGCGGACGACGAGCCGCGCGCGACAGACGTCGAGCCGCCCGGGCCCGACGACGAGCCGCCGGTCCGCATCTCCCGACGAGCCTGCGCGACGACGACCCAGAAGTCTTTGCCCTTCCAAAACCTCGTGCGGCCGACGATGTTCCACCGGCCGCCCTCGTGCTGGCGGAGCTCGGCCATCGTCACGCCGGGCCCCCTCGTCGGGTACCCGTCGGCGGTGATGTGGAACACGCGAGGCAGACGGCAGGCCGGGGGCATCATCAGCCCGAGACGAATGAGCTCGTCCGTCTCCGGCGTGTCCAGGCTCGTCGGCCACGAGCTGCCGCCGCCGTCGCCGTCGGACGCCATGGGAGCCGCCGGGAATGGGAGCTCGTCGGTGGTGGAAGCGCGTCGGTGCGTGGGGTGAGCGGTCGAGGCGCGTCGAGTGGAGTGGGGGGAGGCAGACGGGCGACGGGGCGGTGTTTTAAAGGCAGGCGTCGGCGGGTGGGGGAAGCCGTCCGGTAGGTGACCGAGGCCCGGCGTAACGCCGACATTAATGGCGCATCGGGCCGGCCGCCGCGTCGGGAACCGCCTTTGACCGACGCTTAGACGGCACACAACCGCCCGTCCACACACGTCGCGTCATCGTCCCCACACGTCGCGTCGTCTTATTTTTTTTTCGTCCAGCCGAAACCACGTCGCCACGAGTACGTCGCTCGTCACGTCACGTCGTTTTTTTTCTTTGGTCGTCGTCGTACGTACGCGGACGGACGCGTCTACGGGGTAGTCGGCGTACAGCCCCGTCGCGCGGGTACAGCCCCGTCGCGCGGGTACAGCCCCGTCGCGCGGGCGGGTACAGCCTCGTCGCGCGGACGGCGGCTTTTTATGTGCTGGGACGATCCTACCGTTTTTTATGAAGGGGTACGGAACGATCTCAGCCGTTGTTGTGTTTAGGGGTTGTATCGAAGAAGAAGTGTTTTACTATAAGAGTCTTCTACCTACCGTCTCCATTAGAAATTCGTCTCGTCAATAAACTCCGTGGATTCAACTGCTAGGCTTGATTAGGCACTGCATAAAAATAGCGCATTTCACGTGCCATTTTGGGCGTTGTGCAGTACCCTTACGTGTCCGGTTAGTGAGAAAAGGATCTTGACGCTATGGATTTAACCCTCGATTGAACAACGCAGACTAGTATGCTTTCACTCCGGAACTCGTCGGCCGTATTTCTGAATTTTCTGTGGCTGCATATGGATGGCCACGCTAGAAACAGCTAGACGTTAACGCTCGTTGTTACTGGTATCTTTCATGGCGACTGTAGAAGGCGAATTCTTGGACGAATTATCGGCCGCTCTTTTTCTTGGTCACACATAAAAACAGAAAGGACACCGATGTTTGCACTACTAACCACCTAAAGGTGTGTACATGATCATTAACAACTAGCTGTGTGTGTATCAAGTAGAATAACATATATCATTAGCAGGATAACACTTGGTGATTACACAGTGCTTATCCAGAAGTACTATCATTAGCAACCAAGGATTAGAATCGCGAAAGAAAGAATTTAGCGGCAGGAAATGCTCCACCACCGACGATTTCAGCATTATCTCCCGCGATTCCCACCGGCATTCAAATTGCGGGGCAGTTTCCGAACGGAGATAGCGCCATGAATTGCGTCAGTTTCATCCGCGATTTAAAATCATGTTAGCAACCTATTTTTTAATTATTTTTGCAGGATATGTAGCAACCTATTAATTCTTGATGATTCCAGTTGTTATCCAGGATGTTATCATGAGCGATACATTCGGACATGCTTAGCCGCTTGGTCGTAGGAGCATTAATTAACAGCGGTAATGCTACACGTACGGGCAATTACAGACAAAGATTAATTACAGGCTGAGTTGGGAAAATGTGATTGGAAAGAAGATGTGTGGGGCGGGACCACCCCAGGTAGAATAGGGGGGGGGGGGCGAAGAGATATAAGGGAAGGGCTCCGTAATTGCCTGTAAGGAGCGCGTACGTCTAGAATTATTCGCGCCCCCACCCCACCCCGCCGCCCTTCCAAACCCCAAACCATTCCGACAATCACCTCTTCACATATCTAGTCCTCCTCAGCCCCCGTTCCATCAAGTTCTTCCACAGCATAGCAAGGGCAGTAGATCCGAGAGGGTGCCGCGATGTCGGACGTCACGGCGGTGATGGATCTGGAGGTGGAGGAGCCGCAGCTGGCGCTTCCACCGGGGTTCCGGTTCCACCCCACCGACGAGGAGGTGGTCACCCACTACCTCACCCGCAAGGTCCTCCGCGAATCCTTCTCCTGCCAAGTGATCACGGACGTCGACCTCAACAAGAACGAGCCGTGGGAGCTCCCGGGTGAGTGCAGTACTACGAATGCAGATTTTGTGAGCTTATGCACCCGGGCCTCACTATCCTAGCACTCCAATGTTGCTTTGAGATCTGTGCTACACAACTACCTTATTACATGAAATTTTCTCTTTTTTGTTTCTCTCATATAAAACATGTCTTGAACTTCAAACTTTGCAGTACAACATAACTTTGTAACTAGAATGTGAGATAAAACTTTCAGATTTTTTTGTCCGACATAAATATGAAAAGTAAGATTTTTTAATCAAACAAATCTCATTTTGTATATTTATGTTGGACCAAAAAATCTGTAACTTTTATCCCACATTCTACATAGAAAGCTTTGTTGTGCTGCAAAATTGAAGTACAAATACATGTTCTATATGAGAGAAACAAAAAAGAGAAAATTATTTGCACGAATCGTGATGCAGGAATGAGTGATTGGATAAGGAGTACCCGGGTGCATAGGCTCTAAAACATGTTTTCGGCAGTACTACTCCTCGGCAAGAGCGTTCTTTGATTTCATTTGCAGCGCGCTCATGGCCGGTTCGTTTCTTGCAGGCCTGGCGAAGATGGGCGAGAAGGAGTGGTTCTTCTTCGTGCACAAGGGCCGGAAGTACCCGACGGGGACGCGCACCAACCGGGTGACGAAGAACGGCTACTGGAAGGCGACGGGAAAGGACAAAGAGATCTTCCGCGGCAAGGGCCGGGACGCCGTCCTCGTCGGCATGAAGAAGACGCTCGTCTTCTACACCAGCCGCGCCCCCAGCGGCAGGAAGACGCTGTGGGTGATGCACGAGTACCGCCTCGAGGGCCAGCTGCCCCATCGCCTTCCCCGCACCGCCAAGGTACGGCAAGATTAGATTGTCCCCGTCTCTGTCTCCGTGGTGATCGGTCGAACCGCCAGAGCATCTGGAGATGCTGCTGGACATGTCGCGCTCGCGATTTGTATCTTGTTTCTTATTCTTCTCGTGTTGCTTTCTCAACCTGCCTGTTGCGTGCGCGCAGGACGATTGGGCTGTTTGCCGGGTGATCAACAAAGACTTGGCGGCGAGGAATGCGCCCCAGATGGCGCCGGCGGCCGACGGGGGCATGGACGACCCTCTCGCCTTCCTCGATGACTTGCTCAACAATGATGACTTGATCAACAACGCCGACCTGCTCGACAACGCCGGCCTGCTTGACAACACTGACCTGCCGATGCTCATGGACTCACAGTCTGGCGCCGACGACTTCGCCGGCGCTTCGAGCTCCTCATCCAGCGCCGCCCTGCCGCTTGAACCGGACACGGAGCATCTTACCATAAAGACGGAGCCGCCGCACCAGCAGCAGCAGATGCATAGGCCAAACTACTTCATGCCGGCGAAGACCAACGGCAATCTTGGCGGCGACGGCCGACGGGTACTCACCCTACCAGGTCATGGGGGACCAGCAGGCCGCGATCCGCAGGTACTGCAAGCCGAAGGCGGAGGTAGCGTCTTCGTCGGCGCTGCTGAGCCCTTCGCTGGGCTTGGACACGGCGGCGCTCGCCGGCGCGGACACCTCGTTCCTGATGCCGTCGTCGCGGTCGTACTCGTACCTCGATCTGGAGGAGCTGTTCCGGAGGGAGCCTCTCATGGACTACTCCAACATGTGGAAGATCTCTGATGTGGAAGATCCGGAGCGTCTCAGTTTGCTGGTAGCTATGGATGGTTATTTGGTTGATGCTAGCTCTTCGATTGATTAGTTGCTTCATTAACTTTCGATTAAGGATGGAGTTAATTAGGCGGTGGTGATTCGAGGAGGATCGTCGTGTGTTTGTTGTTGCGTCCAAGGCATAATGCTGGCCTGTGATGGAGGGAGTTCTGATTAGTTAATCTTAGAGTCAATTACATCGGTGATGCTTGAACTTGGCGTAAACGATCACTTTGGTGTTAGAACTTGTGGCATACATTGAACTGATGCAATAACTTGGCTCGGTTGTGCAAATACGGTCCTAATCGTGTATGGATAGGAAATCAACGCTGACTTGGCGTGCCAGCGTGGCATGGGGCCTGCTGTCAACGACTTAAAGCGTGTGACCTGTTGTTTTGGCAACAAAAACCCCTCAAAAAAAATTATTTCTCACAGAAAAGACCATGTTCACGTGGTAGATGTTTTTTTCTTTTTCTGTATGACAAGTAGATGCTGACGTGAAAACTAAAAGAAAAAAGCTTAGGCCTCTACATTCGAACACGCACTACCGCCAGGACGCATACCCTCACAGCCACGGCAACATCTGCTCCCGGATGTTCAACAAGTATAACAGTCGTTAGTATAATTACCTGCAGATGTACTCTCGAAAAAAATTGGCTACAGATAGTGCGGCCCATTTTACATGCACTAGTTATTTTTAAAATAATTGCTAAATGTAAATGATAAAAATAAAGTTCAAAACAATTACGTGTGATAAATATTATACACACAAACGATGGTTAGTACATAAAAGGTTTTAAACAGACATATATTATATAAATTGTTTAGTAAATGCGGGAACTTAAAATGTTTAAAGAATGTAAAAAAGTACAGAGTTACAGCTATATTTAAATTATTCAAATTGATGAATATAAACATTTAATAACTATTTATGAATATTCACTTTTGACTTATATTCAAAACAAATATCTAATTTAAATATTAGCACGACTGAATATTCATATTACATTTTAAATCATAAACTACCTACTTTTAATTATACAAACATCGAATTATACAAATATGCATATGATTATTGAAATGTTTGTAGAATTAAAATAACATTTATGAATTATAATGCTAAAACTAGTTATATTTCTTATTCTACAAATATTTTTATAATTTCACAAATATTATTTTACATATATATGTATTTCTAAAATTATGTGTGAACAGTTTAGGAAAGTAATTTATTTTGTTTCTATGTACAATAATATTTATAATTCACGAAAATTGAAACATTATTCTTATTAATGAGATTAGAATTTTCATACCTACAAATATCTAAATAAAACAAACAGGAACAAATGGGCCGCACTGACAGCAGTCCATTCCAGCCCCACAAGCACCTCTATTCGACTACGGGAATTTTTGGTCTATGGGGACATATGCACCATATATGGAAAAAAATAGTAATTCAACAAAAAATCAAAAATTCCTGAAAATATTTTTGAAATAAACTTGACCTTCTATTGTACTCGTGAGAAAAAAAATCCACAAAAAATATCCCTTTTACTTCTTTTCAAAAAAGACAAATTTTTGGCAAAAATAGTGTGAATAGTGACCTATAATAGCAAATAAATTTTGTCTTTTTTGCTGTGAGGTCAACTTTTTTTTCTTTTTTCGTCGAGATTTATATACTAGTGCAAAACTAAGTCAAGTGTTTTGTCAAAATAGTTTTTACCTATTTTGACTTTTTATTAAAATGTTAAAAAATCCCCATATAGGGTGCATATACAACCAGGAACCAAAGTGTATTTCCCTACATTAACCTAACTATCCATGTTGAAGTGTTTCTAAAAAAAACACTATCCGTGTGAAGTTGTTAATAGGTGAATGGTATAGCGGCCAGGACCAACTGTGACCTAACCAAGGGTCACGCGCTCGAGACGCCAAGCCTCCTTTTTTTTCTTGTTACTTTTAGTATGCACACACGGGACCCACTGGCAACAGAGTCGTAACAAAATTGAAATGCCACCTTTCCAATGTCAATAAGGCTTTTTTACGAGAAAAAAACCTCAAGGGGGTTTAACAAAATAAAAGCTGGCCACACTCCCTCTCTTTGCCATCCTGACGGCAGGACCATGCCATGTTGGCGCGCATAATCAGTGGCTCAGGCGTACACAGCTGAGATTTGCACCGTATTTGCATGCCGGAGCCAAGTTATTACACCAGTTCGATGTATGCCGCAAGTTCTAGCACCAAAGTGACCGTTCACGCCAAGTTCAAGCACCACCGGTGTAATTGACTCTTAATCTTAGGGTATGATTTCAAACTACTAGGAGGCATCTGTAGTTTGTACATAGTTACCTGATTGCTATCATACGGTTTAGCGAGTAGGGGGAATGAACCCTATCGAGTTGGTTGATAAATTTGATTCTGTGTTGATGGAGCTGAATTATTCCCGTTGTAAATGTTCAATTTATTCGATTGTTAATAGTACATGCCATGGTTGATTCTGGGTCTTGGTTATTTATTTTTCAAGAGTACGCTAATGATGTACCATAGTTTTATAGAAAAGAGAAAAATAATTACAAGAGATTTACATAACGTAGTCCTCACCCACGGCAAGCCTACTCTCCCCTACTCCGGACCACCTAGCGGACTACTCGCGACTAGTTTGAACTCCACTCCCTCAGGCGATCGTCCAAAGGTGTCGCTCTCTAAGTATGATCTGAACAGTGCCTCGCTCATTACAAACAACATTCCTACCAAAAGCTCTCCCGTTCATCTGCTTCCATAGGCATCAGCACACTAGCAGAACAAAAGCGTCGAATTCCTTGCGTTGTACAATCCTGTAATCACCATTCATGATCCCCGACGGCACATGTGTTACCGAGCAAAATATGCCGAATATGTTTAAAGATTTTGAAGCACCCAGTCACTGAGCCAAGCTGCAGTGTAGTTCCATCCCATTCCTTGTAGAGGTCACAAGTTTCATTTCCCGGTAATGCTACACCTACGTACAAGCAGCTACGTGTTTTACGTAATTAGCAACATGGACAATTTTGATTGGGGATAGGAAAAGGTGGGGGGCCCACCAGCATTAAAATCAGTGGGGGGGGGGGGAGTTGGTTTATTCAATGGTTTCAAAATTATAGTGGTTTCGACTCTAAGCGTTTATTTATTGGTTTCAAAAGTAGTGGTCAGGATGGTTTGGACATTAGAATAGTTCCATACTTTCGTCGTGGAGGTCGTCTGTTTAATTGATCTAAACGTTTTTATATTAGTTTACAGATGAAGTACCAGTTTATTTATTATTTCCAAATATAGCCAAAAGTGAATGAGATGTTTCCAACACACGACCTGCAGGACATTAGCGGAAGCTACAGTTGGCAAGCTGGGTAGGCCATATGGTCAAATTTGCTTTCATGCCTCACCGATTTACATACAGATTGCGCGCAACCCATTTGGCCTGGCTTTAGCTCCGCCTCTGCCGAAGGATTATAGAAGAATACAGTGAAACCCTTCAATTCGACTTTAACATACCATTTTCTTGGATTGAACTGGGGTCTTCCTGTGGGGATTGTTCTTATATAATTACATTGTGCAATTCCATGGACGGCCGATGTCAGGCGCATGTGATTAGATTTATTTTTTTGAATCTGGGGCGTACGTATGTTCTGTGTAAAGAAATATAGAATTAAATCACTACCCCTAAGTTCAAAATACGGTGATTAGTTAAAATGATCCAAGAAGCATGGGGCCTCGCCTGGTGCTGTACGTCGCACAGGACTCAAACCGTTTCCCGTGCATGCGTGTACCCAATCGTTGGCATTCATTTCCAGGCCACGGGACGTCGTCATCGAATCCACTTGCATGCACGCGCACAAAATAAAACCCTAATCAAATCAATTCCTGACGATCAACTGGAGCGCGCCCGCTATTTTTTTTTTTTGAAGCTCTGCGCGCCCGCTAATTGGAGTGTCTCTCTCGTACTACCAGGTCGTAATTAAACGACAGCTCCACCTGCTACTACCGACCTATGGAGCAATGTAACCTGTTGTGTACTTTTCCTTATCTAATATAATGTCTGATATCGCCATCCAAAAAAAACAAGCATCGACCTATTGCTCACCATTATCCAAGAATGACTGATTCCTGAGTATTTAGTACTTTTAGAAAAAACTTTTCATCGAATATCGTGACTATGGAAAGAACATCAGAAGGGGCAGTAAATTACATCAATGTCTGTAGTTAGTTCTTTATCGAGTGTGTTTACGATGCACTCGGTCAACAACATCTTTAGTCAACAACGTTTTTACCAAGTGCCGTATAAAAAAACACTCAGCAAACAGGCGAAACTCGGTAATGTGGGAGATCTGCCAAATATCTTGTAAAAAACACTCGGCAAAGCACGGGCACTCGACAACAAAAACACAAGATACTCGGCAGAGCAATTATCCA